CACCGCGCGCGGGGTGGGCCCGGGGCGCAGCCGGAGGAATGAACCTGTATATATGTAAAAGCACATATATGTTAACTGTGAGAAAACAGGCGTTTTGCATTTTATGATTGGATAGAGCCAACATAGGATGTACCTTTTTGTTTGTTGCTGGGTTCTGTTTCCCTTAACCTCTCTTTGCACCCTCTCCCACAACAAACAGCCAAGCGTCAAAAGCACTTTCATTTGAAAACTGTGTTGTAATTTTTCTGTTTAAACCTTAAGGGGACTTTGGCCTTGTTTATGCTGCTTGTTGTCTGAGCACAGTAGTCACCCCTGGCAGCAGTCATTACCAAAACACAGACAAACCAAAGGTAGCCCTCCAGCCCACCACGGAACCAGGAGATCGGGGACGCGGGAGTCCCTCGCAAGAGCCAAAGGACTGCCCTGTCATGGCTTGTGTTCGGCCCATGTCCATATTAGTGGACGTGACCTTGCTTTATTTATTTATATTCCTTTTCAGGGAGCTTTCCCCATTTCCTTTCTTTTGTGCCTGCCCAGGTCACCCCGTTTCTGTGGTTACTGTCACTCTGGTGTCATGGGAACATCCGTTAGGTCCCGTCCCTGGGAAAGCTACATCATGGTATTGCTGTGCACGGTCACACAGGCGTGAATGTGCCTGAGTGCTCGGGTCCCCAGGTCGTCGTGCTGACAGTGTGTCCACGGGCTCCCCTTCGGTGTATGCACTCTCTCGGTTATTCTGTTTGTCTCTGTGGCTTCAGAGGTGTGCCCACTGGTGTCCACCCTGACACGTTGCCAGGGCCTGCTTCTGGCTGTCCGCAGAATGCGGGTGACTCCCATTGTCATCATGTTGGACATGTCTTTTCCAGATTGGCCTGTGATGGAAAGGAAGGCTTCTGATTGCTAGAAAACACAGCAACAGAAGACTGATAACTCCCTGCCCCTTTGTCCCACCAAACAGAAACCCTGCACGACAGCCAGTCTTCGTAAAAGCAGAGCACCCCCTCCCCAGGCGCACCCCCGCCAACAGAAACCGGAAAATGTGGGCCATCTGAGGGTTACCATGTTTTCCTTACTTGTGCCAATGTCCACACTGCATATCCCCCCTTTTTCCTTTATTGTAACATATTAGGAAGATAAGTTGCTGTTGCCGGTTGGAACTTTCTGTTTGGGCAGCCCTGGGGTGGCACCCGGCCCTGAACCCCAAGGTTTCACAGGCTCTTCTTCCTTTACGGCTCATGCTCCCCTAATTCCTAGCAAGACTTAAAGATGGTTCCTCCTGATCAAATTCTCCTCATTGTGGAACTTTCTACCTGGAAGCCTTTGCGAAGGCTGCTAATGAGTTACATTAATTACTGCGAATCAGTGGAATTCTTAAAGAGACAAGATAAGCTCTGTGTACATTTGTTGCACCTCTTCCCCATCCTGCCCTGCTACCCCAACCCTAGCTTTTCTATATACCACCTTCGAGGGTTTTTAAGCCCTAACACTTGTCTAGCAAATGGAGAGCCTAATTTACCAAAATGAAACTTGTAAATTTCTGTGTCCTTGTATGTAAGTTTACTTTTTATGGAGGAAAGATTCTAGATAATGACAAATGAAGATTACGAGATGTGTTTTACTCCTGTGAGTAGGTTATGCACACAGAGGTCATAACCCGCATGCCGAGCCCTCTGGTGAAGGGTAAGAGAGCTCAGCCTCAGATGGCCAACCTTCAGTCGTTCAGGTTCATCGTCTAAGTTTTAGAACTACTTGTACTCAGTAACAAAAATCATTTCTTTCTCTCTCTCTTTTTTTTCTGTTGTTGTGGAAAAGTGTGAATTTGTTATGAAGTATTTGATTTTCTGTGTCCTTAAGTACTGCCTAAAGATAAAGCAAATTTTAAACCGGCAATTACGAAAAAAAGAACTATTTTAGCTCTGAAGAATTTAGTAGACTTTGTTAGATTAGGGAGGCCTTACAGACTGACTTGACTTAAAGAGGACGCGTCACTCAGTCAGTGTGGTGTGGGCTCTATTTGCTTAAATACCTTCATTTGTATAGTATGTCTCACTTGAAATTGCTTTGTATACATTTTGTAAAAATATTTATAAAATGTTTTGTAAAAAAGTATAACAAATTGCAGTTTATTTTGTTATGTTGGATAAATACTGTTAAAAGAAACCAGTCCGTAACTATATTGTTAATCCATGGTTAGGAAATGTTTAGTTGGAGATTACAAAATGAAACAACCATTGCAATACAGCCAAAGATTTGGGAAAATGTGCAACTGTGATTGTCTTGATTTGCAAGTAGGAATGGCTGCTTTTCCCAGAAGAAGGGTAAGTAAGTGTTCAGTGGGAGTTCTGCTGAAATAAACTTACCATTGCCGAAAAGTAGCCTAGGCAGTGAGAAGGTAGGGTTTTAATTGATTGGCCTTTCCAAACGGTTACAAATTAAACCAAGTTGGTCGTGGGGAAGGTTTAGTCATGTACTTCTCTTGCCTCCATCCCTGCTCCTGTCACATGGATCCTTCCTTAACTAGCGAAGGAAAAACAGGGTCATTTGAAAAGTTAGATAGGTGAGCCTCAATCTGTAGGAAGTTTCCTTCCATATATTCTTATATTTATTTTGTTTCTTCAAGGACAAAAAAGTAAAGGGATAAAGAACAAAAGCAGAGCCCTGGCCGGTGTGGCTCGGCTGGGCATCATCCCGTGCACCAAGAGGTTGCTGGTTTGATTCCGGGTCAGGGCACCTGCCCAGGTTGTGGGCTCAGTCCCCAGTAGGGGACATGCAGGAGGCAGCCAATCGATGTTACACCCTCACATTGATGTTTCTCTTTTCTCCCTTCCTCTCTAAAAGTCAACAAATTCTTTTTTTATTTTTTTTATTTAATGTATTTTTATTGAGAAGGGAGAAGGAGCGATAGAAACATCAATGATAAGAGAGAATCATTGATCAGCTGCCACCTGCACGCTCCCCATGGGGACCGAGCCCGAAACCCAAGCATGTGTCCTGACCGTAAAGAAAACTATTTCATAGAAGACTTGTTCCAGCACTACCTGGGTAGCTCAGTTGGTTAGAGCATTGTCCCGATATGCCAAGGTTGTGTTTTCAATCCCCAGTCAGGGCACATTAAAGAACCAACCAGTGAATGCATCATAGGCGGAACAACAAATCTCTCTAAAACCAGTAAATAAAAATTTAGCCCTTGCCAGTGTGGCTCAGTTGGTTGGAGCATCATACCATATACCGAAAGGTTTCGGGTTCAATTCCCAGTCAGAGCGCATACCCAAGTTGTGGGTTCTGTCTCTGGTTGGTCAGGACGCATGTGGGAGGCAACCAATGTTTCTCACATCAATCTCTCTCTCTCTCTCATCAATCTTTTTAAAGTATAAATAAATAAATTTTTAAATTTATTTCAGAATTAACATGTTTCTTTGGAGTCACACCTTTGACCAAAATGGTAAGAAATACCCATGTAACCTTATCTGTAAAATTAGTCCCATGAGGCCCTTCTGTGTTCCTGTCCTCACGAGTGTGACTCTACCCAAATTGTTAGGGGAACTACCAGAGGGCGAAATATATTTCTAGGGATGACAGTATAGGACTCCTTAAATTTCTCTTTGGGACCTAGAATTTATACTCACACCCTTACTTATGGTTTCATTGCTTCCCCTGCCCTTAAAGCAGTAGCAGTCGTGAACACAACATTCAGCAACAACCAACATGTAAATAGGAAGTTGTCATATAACTAAGAGAAATTAGGATACTTACTGCTTGAATCGTCACATCAGTGGATGGATTCCCTAATTATTTTTATTTTTGCAGTGTTGCCCTGATGTCGAGCTTCTCTCCTTACTAAGGTCAAATGTGTGTCCATCCTGATGCTCTTGGACCCTTTGCAATGGGGATGCCCCCTGGGTGACGATTTAGAAGGAGGGACCATCTGACTGCTTAGTTAGGATCAGTGTCTGTCCCCAGGGGCAGGCCCAGAGGAAAGAACCAGGCATCTTCTCTGAGGGGGAAGCCCTCAGCCCTGGCTGTGGGAGGTGGGGGCCTTGTTTCAGGAGGGACCCTAGTTCTCCCTGATGTGGAGGAAGTAGCCAGTGGATTCTTGGGGACAGAGGGAAGGGAAAAGACACAAAACCCCCACCATCTGGGGAATCACTGAAATCGCATCGCTCAAGCAGGACTAGCTGTGCTGTCTGCAGGACTAACTCCCGAGACAGGCAGGGCTCCTGGGGATCCAGCTGACGGTGGAGAGCAGTAACCACCAAACCTTGGAGCAGTTTACAGGCACGGGGCTAGGCACGGGGGGCGTGTGTAACTGAGGGTGATTTCTGTTCTCTAGGAGCTCCAAATCTAGAGAGAAAGCAAGCAAATAACTAGGTACGTTTGGGAACCGGCCGGATGGCGTTCCAGAGAAAAGAAACTGGAGCTGAAACTCTCCAGGACTGCCACTTGGTAGAGAGCGACAAACCGGATTTCCATGCCCTGGTTCTTAGTGCAGTTTCCTGAGTGATGTTTGAGAACAAATATATAGACTTTCTGCAGGGATGAAGGTAAAGGACGTTTGTAATTACAGTGTTAACATGTGGAGAAATCTGTCCCAGTATGCACACAAATGCTGGAGGCGCGTTTGTCGTATAAAGTAGATTCTGTTATGGGAACAGCCTGCGTCTGCATTGCTGCAGGGGAAAGGCCGTTATGAGAAACCTCTCTGTATC